TGTACATTTGTTTAAAATTTGTTGATGTTTAGTAGCATATTCTGCTAATAATAAACTACTTTCAATTCAATTCAATAAGTGCAAAAGCAAACTGTCTAGTGCTCCTGATGGGTTTCATTATTTTCCGTTAAGTCTTGTATATTTACGTTAACAAAAACACTGCATTTTTGTTTAATCTCTCACTTGACAGTCAGAATTTTTTCATAATCCTGTTCCAAGGTGCTTATAATATCATATCTAAAAACAACTTCGATATTCAGTTAACCAGAACAACACATATGCAAAAAAGTCTTTTCAATGATGGCCTGAGACTATTCAATATTAAAATATATTATATTAAAAACTCATCCAATGTGCAGATTTTTATAAAAAAAATCTGAACTTGAGCTAGATGTATAATACAAATTTTGCATTCTTCGTCGTTCTGTGAATGTTTGGTTAAGTAGTTAAGTATTATTATTATTGTTATGATTATTATTATTATTATTATTATTATTAATATTAATATTATTATTATTATTATTTGTTAAATTTACTATTAATACTTATGTTTTAATGTACATTTGTATAAAATTTGTTGATGTTTAGTAGCATATTCTGCCAATAATAAACTACTTTCAATTCAATTCAATAAGTGCAAAAGCAAACTGTCTGGTGCTCCTGATGGTGTTTCATTATTTTCCGTCAAGTCTTGTATATTTACGTTAACAAAACCATTGCATTTTTGTTTAACCTCTCACTTGACAGTCAGAATTTTTTCATAATCCTGGAAATACTCTTATACTAGATCTAGTGAACCTGCTGATATTAGTAATTACAGAGGTATCTGTATTTGGTGGGCCATACCCTTTTCGATCCATTAGTAAGATTCTATATTGTTACGAATCTTCTTACCAAGAGACACTTTGAAAATAATTTTCAAGTGGATAATATACCGATTTTTCAAAGGCAATTGATAGAATTCACCATAAATTATTAAGAAGTAATTAAATTCTTTTGGATTTTAGATGTCTACTATATTATTCAAAAAATTTCTCTAAGACTAAATGAAGAAATTGTTTTTCACCAAAGATCTCACATCAATGCCTCGGTAAGGACTTCATATTTACCATAAGGCTTGTCCATTACAGTTTTTTTTTTCAGAAATTTGTTTAGATTACGTTTTGGGATATTTCGGGTGTATACCTTTGCTTTTGCTTGCGAAAAACCCGCAAGATAAGAGCTCACTAAGCCCCGTTATGTAAAATAAGTATTCTGCTCCCCGTCATATTACAAACAGTAAACTTTTTAATAAAGATGCAAACTTTGAGTTTAACTTTGAAAGTAATTTAATATTTTTTGGGTAGAGCCCATCTTTCGCTATAAAAAAAACTTTTTATCTTTTATTCGATCAAATTATTCGCAATAAAGGGGCCTTTTCGGATCTGCCGTCGTAATTTGGTAAATTTAAATATTAAATACACCTTGCCAAGAAAGGCGAATTTCGAATGTACGATTGAGTCAAATATATTCCGTGTTTGAAATTAGTAATTTTTGGTAAAATCGTCTTTAAAATTCTTATTTTTGCAATGGAACGTTTTTCTTTTTTTGCAGTTAATTCAGGATAATTGATGAAAGCTTTGAATTTTAAGACCAATTGAAGCACTCGCGGCCATAGTAACGATAGTTAACGTTTTAAACGGAAGTTTGTTGTTTAATAATTGTCGAATGAAGAATGTATTTTTCTGTATTTCAATAGAATACTTTCAGTGATTATTACTGAAATTTTCCTGTTCAATTCGAGCTGCAATATTTCTCAAATCACTTTTGCAGCATCATATACCATTTCTAGATTATTTTTCGATGTATATTAACATAAAACCGCCTCAGATTAATACGAGCACTGACGTTACCAGTAATTCGTTATTTTTAATCAATTTCATGGTGGCTACGGCTTACAATTTAAAATAACAATTAATAAGCATTAAAAGAAATGGTGTGTTCTGTGTGATTTTGTCGTTAATTGCAACTAGCGTCTCAGGTCCCTTTTTCGGGTGTGACGACATTAAAATGTAAACCATACGTCGACAAAACAAAGGAAAGTGTTATTTAATGTATGTGGTCAACGCTAATTGCACGAGCATCCCCACTGGACGGGAAAAGAATTTTAAAAGCAACTTCTTCCCTATTCAGTAACGATCGCTACAATTGTTGCAAGAAGGTCGCAAATATAGCAGGCATGTCGCAAGTAATTTAGCCCCAACAAATCTAATTTGAAAAGGAGTCGTCCTCAACATCGTTTTCCGTACGTCCTTTGTTTCAGCACGACGTATAGCGAAGCATATTATTTGAAAGCAACGAGATCGTTTTTCAAAAGCGTCCAATTCACGGCAAATAAGTTCGATTTCGATTTCATATATATTCGGCAAAGGAATGTCGAATTATGAAACTTGTTATTTTTCAATCGCGTTTGTTGGGCATAATAACAAGGGCCGCCTCATCAATAATTTATATTGTATGAAAATTCCGGGCGGGAACATCAAAAGCCGATTGTACTCGGCGTAATAACCTTTACGGGTTAGATACGTCTGGGAATCGCAAATTACTTACATCAAAGTGGAGTTTTTTTGAAAAAATAACGAACTAATTCCTAAAAAGGTACAAAAGGAAATTTAAGCTACGCTTATAAAAATGGGAATCCTTCAAAGAAATCGCTAACAACGTAAATCATTAAAATGCTAACGATGTATGTGTATCTGTGGGTGTGTGTGTAGTAGGGTGAGGTGAACTATTCGATGAATATATGCCTAAAAACCCCAATTCACTTGTACGGCTGTTAAATGCTTTATTTGGAAACTCTTTTAGGGGATTTACGGCTATCAACGAAAATTAATGGTTAAAGATGTCGATTATATATTTGTTTGTATCGAAATATCGAGTTTATTTAGTTATTTTATATTGTTAGGTGACAAAAGAAGTAATATTAATTGTTAAAATATTTTGACTTTACCTTAGCAGTGTGCTTTAATGAACATTTTTCTATTTTTGATGTCAACTTATCCTGAGAATGGAACTAAATTTTATGTAAGCTATATAAAATATATTAACGATCAGTATGTACAGTTTATTCGTAAAATAAATATAAATAGGAATGTTTCTGGTTTTTTATGAATATTAAAAGAAATGTGGTTGCATGCATCAACTGTTTTGGTAAATATTGATATTTTTGTGGATCTCTTTTTCCTGATGATTGTGCTATTTGTAACTCGCAAATTTCAAAAACAATTTCTTTTCATTTTCACTTGTGTCAACCAAGTGTCGGCTATTGTCAAAATTAAAAGAAAATGTTTATAAAGTATTATAGGCATACTGGGGTATTGGTCAGAACGGACAATATACGACCCGGAATTTTCTTTTCAAAACTTGGTCTTAATTATTTGGTGTTCAATATGATATAGTCGATTGATCTAAGTTAGGTGAGAATCAAAATAAAGACCTACAAAATTAACATGGTGTGGTGTAGTGACCAATATTGCCCAGGCTTGCTAAAAGATTTTATGTCAGTTAAACTCTAGTAACTCTATTTTATCGGCATTCAACTTTAGGTTGTTGGCCGTCAGTTTGAATCCTAAAAATGTTAGCATCCAAACTACATTATAAATTGTTGTTACCGGAGCCTCTGCCTGGAAAAAGTCGGAAAATATAATTAACAAATGCAATATCCAATTTCATATGACTCCCAATTTAATTTTTCAAAGAAACTTCCACAGGCTACTGTAATACTTTTTATAAAATTTCTGGATTCCTCCTGCGTCGGTTTTTGTTGAGTCGAACTAGCTAACGTTTCGCCTATCATCATGTTGGCTTCTTCAAAGCTTGATTGAAACTGGCTCGCATTTTACTACGTACCTTCTTTTATATTGTTTAAGGGGGACGGAGCTAAATGAGGGGCATAAACACTGTCTCGGATGATTGATTCCCATATTGGTGACAGGTAAAGACCTGGGTGGCGGTTAATGTTGTTAGGTTGCTTATAGATTTCTATAGACTCTACGATTTTTCGGATTTTTCGTTGGTAGAAAAATTTTATGTCCGGTTTCGTGATTGTGTTCGACTACTGCTGATGAGTTTATCTGACTTAGTCTTAAGGCTCTTTCATGTTCTTTGAGTCTAGTTCATATTTTTCGTCCGGTCTTTCCAATGTATTGTTTGCCACATATGCATGGAATGCTGTAAACTCCTGGCATCTCAAATTGAATAGTGTCTTTAACGGATCGAAGATGTCGAGAGCTTTTTGGACAAGTGGTAAATCTGGTTTTGACTTTATATTTCTGCACAACTTATGATATGCGGTTAGTGATGTTTTGACTCTAAGGAAGGACAACAGTGGCAAGTGTCGGCTTCATTGCTTTTGGAAGGTTGTGGTGAAGTGTATTTTGTGATGCAACACTTAACATATTTGATGTGGAAATTATTAGAGAGAAGAGCAGAGGTAAGGTGTTTTAATTCTGGGTTCAATGACTTGGACTGAGATAGTTTTACGGCTCTGTAAACAAGAGAGCTGTTCATGCCCCTCATTTAGCTCCGCTCTCCACAAACAATATAAAAGTTTCAGTAAAACGCTAAAGATGCCAACAGGATGATTGGCGAAACGTTAGCTAGTTCGACTCAACAAAATCCGACGCATGAGGAATCCGGAAGTTTTATAAAAAGTATGACTCCCAAATTATTGCAGATTTTAACCTAAATATTTATTAACAATCCATTGCAACAAAATGTTGGCAAACGAAATTTTCGATTTTGCCCTGTTCAATCTGAATCTGGTTTTTAGCAATTTGTTTAGGTAATGCGGAAATTGGACAAGGCGATGTATCCTTTTCCCTATTCGTCGAATAACGGTTTTATAGGAACTCAATCCGTCTTCGTACAATAACAACCGAGAAACACTTTGATCATTACGTTCCAGTTATCACGTGCAGCTAAGAACAAAACAACTACAACATCTGTTATTATTGTTCCAGGGGCATTCTACTTCAAGGAAAACAGCACTTGGATGAAGCTATTCTCAGCTATCAAAGGGCTATTCATTTTCGTCCGTCATTGGCACGTAAGTATGCAATACGACGTAACGTCTGCACAACGTTAAGCCGACAACCTAGATGCGTTCATTACAAACCGTAGTTTAAACATTTCTCTTAGAGGTATAGACGATGAGGTCACTGCCTGCGGCATTCGGTTACGATCTCAAAACGAGATGCAAACGGTTGTCTTTGAACATTCTCAAGGAAATAGTTCTACAGGCGTGTTATCTATGTATGCGTACTATTCCGTAAAAACCAGGCTTTTCAGGCGTATATTATGCATGACCTATTTTGAAATGATGACGTTATTTTAATGTCGCATACTAAACCACAAGTGCGATATTATATGTCCGCAGCTAACAGAATCATAAGTAGTCTTGTCAAACATACAATAGGAATAAGTTCAAGAAGTAGCACATTATGTAGGTTTAAATCAGTTAGTATCGTTAATTTGTTTCGAAGATTATAGACAGGTTACATTGTTAAATCGGCAAAAAATTACTAATGCTACTAATAAAATAGCAAAAGATAGGTTTGCGAAAGCAAACCAAACAAAAATAAACATTCGTAAAAATTACCTACCCTGCACCAATTGCTCTCTCTGCGTTTATTCTAAAGTTGGTATATTATGAAAATGGTATTGAGAGTGATTAACTAAGTTATTGAAAATTAGATTGGGCTCAGAATTAACCGGGGTTGAGCTTTTTGTGGCTCTTGTTATCACTAGTTTTTTTAGCAAATCCAACTTGGAACCCCTTTAAAATTTATTCAAATTTGAAACGTTATCTGGAATTTTAAACTTCTGACCCGTTGAAAGAAGAATTTTAGCAACTGCAGACTCGTTCGTTTCTGTGATTTAGTTTTTATGGTACTGACTGAGGCGATCTTGGGTTGGTTGGTTCGTTGGTTGGGTTCTTTATCTTGCTCCCTGATTGTCCTGATGAATACGGTTGGGCAGCTTAAACAAACTGAGAAATGTTGCAGCTCTAATGAAGCCCTATGTAGCTCTCCAGAAACAGGAAGGTTTCAGTAATAATAACTGAAAGTGAAATCTATGATTGCCAGCCAAATACCTTCTTTATTCCTGAACCCCAAACGTAAGAATAAACAGAGCTGCTGTCTAATTCTGAACCTGCAGAAGCCTTACCGAATATGAAATCATGCTCAGCAATAGAACAGCAATCAGCTTGTCAGGCAAATTTAGTATATTATCGCAAGTTAAACAGTTCAGACCGATCCAAAAAGAAGCATAGAAAATGTTTCAACATCAAATTTTCCATGCAATACAAAATCTATTAGGTTAAACAGTGCGCAATGTGAACAAATGAACAAATGCACTGTAGGACCATGGATTTTACAGAGATACTCATCAAGAAAATCTTGTTTCTTTTGGCTTTACTAAAGAAAAAATGTTCTTTTTATAGCAATGAATTTTCCTGTATTGAAGGTTATGTGTTCGCGATAAAGCCATAAAACCATATCCTATGGCCTCAATTAGAAAAATGGCAAGTAGTATATTACGAAAACAATAATTATTAAAATTGCTGTGACTTTTCGGAATGTTTGGCGAAAATTGATTAATTTACAGTCATTTATTTCTCGCATTTAGGCTCTTACGGCCTTATTAAATGATGGTATTCCTAATAACCCTTTCTTTATTCTTAAAATATCAAAGACCGAAGAATCCCACGTATTTGGGGGTTGCGAATCATTCAAATCACTCCTATGTACAAAAACATTGCGTATACCAATCTTTATGTACTATTGTTACACGGTAACTAGCTTAGCGTGGCTAACTGATTTGGAATTTCACAGCTAACTAATACGAAACTTGTTTTATTGCTCGTTTACAACGGACCTGGAGACGTAAACAATATACCGTTGGTATGTAGTCTTTAAAAGTTTGGAATTATTATTATGTAAATATTATATTATTATATAAATGACAGAATTTACACTACACTTAGTAAATTTTCAATAATCAAGATTTTGCTTTGGCCACTTCTGCGGCCTTTAGCGGGAAGGGGAGAGCTTCAAAATGATGTATTACTCAAGCACATTGAAACCGTCGGGAATATATAAAACTAAACCCAAATATGAAATACCCCAAAGTTCGTTTTATTTATTACGGAATCTCAAAAAAAAAACTGACGTCCCAGATGTTGAATTAGGCCATTGAAAAATCACTCGGTAGAGCTTCAAAATGAATCAATCACCTTGAAACGGCCGGGCAGATATAAAACTACCCCCTAAAATTCGCCATTATCAAAGTAGAGATTTGGTTTATGACTCGAAATTGACCCACAGACACATACATCAATCATGGATGCTAGCGATATACAGGAGATTTTCTAAATTTTATTTGTACTTTTCATTCTTATATTTATTGAGCCGTTAATTAAAAGTTTTCTGGGACGACATTTTCGCACAAATTTGACCTTTTGGAATTAATAACAATTGCATATTATGTTTCATTATAAAATATTTCCAGTATAGGGAACGCTAATATTCTACAGGAGACTAAATTCTGTACTTGATGACGTTTAGAGAAACAGGATGTCCCCTTTAAAGAAAAAATAATTTGAATCGTTTCCGGATTAAGAGCAATAGTTATCATGCTGGTTGTACAATTTTTTTCAAATAATTCAACAAAAAGAGACAGGCATATACAGCTTTTGAAAATTAACTTCAAATTAACCATGGCAATAAAACATGATAAAAATATACAGGGTGTGCAACTTTACATTTTAAATATGGCAACCATTTGAAAACGAATGGTAGGGCATCTCATAATCGGGAGTAGTTCCATATCTTTCCGACCGCTTCAAGGTGGTCGAGTAGTACATCGTTTTGAAGCTCTCCTAAGTGGCTCTTCAATGGTCTAATTCAATATCTGGGACATATCAGGTTTTTTTGAGATTCCGAAATAAAAAAAACGAATATTTGGTTATTTTATTATTGGGGGTGGTTTTATATCTTCCCGACCGCTTCAAGGTGGTGGATTAGTACATCATTTTGAAGCTCTCATAAGTAGCTCTTCAATAGTCTAATTCAATATCTGGGACAACGTCGGGTTTTTTTGAGATTCCGAAATAAATAAAACGAACATTTGGTTATTTCATTATTGGGGGTAGCTTTATATCTTCCTGATCGCTTCAAGGTGGTTGAGTTCGTTTCGAAGCTTTCCTAAGTGGGTCTTCAATATCTGGGACAACGTCAGGTTTTTTTGAGATTCCGAAATAAATAAAACGAATATTTGGTTATTTCATTATTGGCGGTAGTTTTATATCTTCCCGACCGCTTCAAGGTGGTTGAGTAATACATCGTTTTGAAGCTCTCCTAAGTGGCTCTTCAACGGTCTAATTTAATATCTGGGACAACGTCAGGTTTTTTCAGATTCCGAAATAAATAAAACGAATATTTGGTTATTTCATTATTGGGGGTAGTTTTATACCTTCCCGACCGCTTCAAGGTGGTGGAGTAGTACATCATTTTGAAGCTCTCATAAGTAGCTCTTCAATAGTCTAATTCAATATCTGGGACGTCAGATTTTTTTTGAGATTGCGAAATAAATATACCGCATTATTTGGGGTGATGCGAGCGGAAAGGGGTTATTTTCTGTATAGCAACATTGGACGTGGTTTTTGAAAGTTCCCTTACAATATCTCCTTGCTAAATTTCCCGGAAATTCCACAGGAATACGTTTTTTAAATTAAAGGAAATAACGAACTGGTCCACTGTAATATTCGCAAATCCGAATCCAATTCCAAATCTAACTTCAGCCACATACCCGTGACCGCGTTAATTAATTTTCTGTATGGTATTATTTGTTACCTGAAAACTTCGGACTCGATAGCTTCGCGAATACGTCCCTGCCCGGAAGCGGTTTGACGCTAAGCTTTTTAGATAAATGACGGCGGGAAATGGACGGCGAAATTAATGTTATTTTTGCAACGCCGGGTCTTTTTCAAAAAGCTTCCCGTCAACATCGACAAAAAATAGACATAAAGTGCGGCATTAAGCGGCTTCCGATTGGTTTTCGAAAGGTTATTTGTTTCCCCCCCCCCCCCCACTCCCTACTATGATGATGCCGCAATAGTCGGCCGAATAAAGGTCACTAATTAAGTATTGGAAATATCGTTTGGCTTTCGTTTTTCTTGTAAAAGGCGCGGCTTTCCTTTTCAACGCTAGAATGACTGACATTTGGTTTTAAATTAATACCTCCCCCAGCCCCTTATTAAAATCGGTGCCCAGAATATAGCCCGATTGCGAGTTGATTAAGCTGTCGTTTTGGTATTTTGAGATTTTACACTATAACGGCGAATTTACAACCACCAAATAAGAGCAAATTCCACTATTTTTCAGATTTTATAAAAATAAATAGAATTTGGGAACTATTGAGTTGTAGCAATCATGAAATTGATTTATTGTTATTAATCATAATAACTGCAATTTAAAATTAAGAGAACCTATGACATCAAAAAACGCGAGGTTCGCGCCTAAGTGCGTCAGTGCACTCCGAAGATATTGCAAAAAAAGGTTAATATATGTAAATAATTTTTATTTTAATTTTTAAATTCGACTTTTTGACTCATATTTTAGCTTAGAATAAATATTTTTAGATTCAGTTTTTGCTGCTATCGTTGGGCCCCTATTTTACTATCAATTTAAATTAAATTAATTAAAATCCTTAAATATTTCGTAGCAGTAAAGTACCCAAAGGCTAGACTTGCGCCATTAAACTCAGACAGGTAAATAAAATTATTCCTTTCTATTAACTTTGTCATATCATATTTTTCCAGTCAAGTCATTATTATTATTATGATTTAAGTAAATAATTTAGTAAATCTTCGCGTCACTCATTTCACGAATGCCTTGAAAAGGCTAGTTCTAATTACTCCAATTTTATTAAAATGCGTTATGCGTTTTTGGAGTAATTGACATTGATTTGATGAAAATAAACACAATGATTTGAATTTGCTACAGCATCAAGACGCCAGGCACTCTAATTTTGTCAAAAAAAAGG